GGTATCACTTGATCAATGATTATTTCACAACTGTTTATGATGCGGGTGAGCTAGATGACGATACCTTTAATTTCTACAAACGTAACAGGTATAATCATACCTTTTAATTTTCGTTTAAAGACATTGATCCTTATACAATTTACAGAACCATCCAGCAGATTAAATCTGGTGCAAGGGGTTCAGAGATGGAATGAGTCTTGATATGCTAACTTTGTGTCTCCATCGAGTTTTATTCCACGTTACACATATTTTGAATTTATGCTTGGGTTATTTTCCACAAGCATGGAAGCATGCTTTAGTAATACCTGTTCCCAAAAATAGCAAGCCGGAAGCTCTCTCTAATTTGAGACCTATAAGCCTTCTGCCATTATTATCGAAAGTTCTGGAGAAATTAGCTCAGCAACAAATAATCGAATATGTTGAATTATGCAGAATATTGCCAGAAAATCAATCTGCTACTACCGCTCTGCTTAATATAAACGTAAACGTCTTGTCGCCGCTAAAGAACATTTGCGTCAGTGCAAGAATCAATGTTTGTCAACTATACAACCATTCTGTTACAGGATTCTACTTTGCAGCCAATTTATACTCAGTGACATTAGAAGCGTTATATCCAGAGTTCGAGTTCGAAGACGTCCAAATTATCACCATGTTAGCGACTTTGACAGGGGTAGAATTATTGCCTATCGGGATGTGGGTTTGTCCTATCGCGAAATTGGCCGCCGTGTTAATTGTACTGCAATGACGGTAATGCGTGTGTGTCGTGTGTGGATAGAAGAAGGTAGAGGAATACGAAGAAGGCCAACTGGTCCGCCGGCGCGTCAAGATAGGCGCAACCTGCTCTACGAGACCGCTTTACTACTACGCGTCAAATCGCTGACCAATGGTTTGGAGAAGAAGGTAGACAGACCTGTTACTATGCGTACACTCTATCGCCGCATTCGAGCCTTTGGCTTTTTTTCATACCGGTTAGTGCTTCCGCTGACTGCGGACCACTGTCGTTAAAATTTGAACTGGAGCAGGGAACGGAGGACGCCGTGATATTGGATTTGCTGTTAAGAGTCATGTACACAGGACTGTTGGGCTAATGGTTTTGGGGGCTATTGCCTACGGTAGCCGATCACCCCTTCTCTTTGTTCAAGGCAATATGATTGCTGTGCGTTGTGTTGATAATGTCCTTCAAACCACTTTACTGCAGTATCTAGCGAGCCGTCCACACGTCCTTTTTCAGCAAGACAACGCAAATTGCTCGTCGTACTACGGACTTTCTTTAATAAGCAGGCGTTAATGTTTTGACGTATCCACACCGTTCACCGGATTTAAATCCCATCGAGCATGTGATGATGGGCAGGAAACTACCCACTCTGCACCATCCGCCACAGACTCTGCGTTATCCAGACATTTTGTCAATGCCTAGACGTATACAGGAGTGTATTCAGCTGCAGGGTCGCCCAACACATTATTTTTTTTTTTTTTATTACTTGTCAATAAAATTTCGTGAGAATGTTATCGTTTCATTCTACCTCACTGCCCAAAAAATGAAGTTGAAGAAATTATTTGTTCTGGTTGTAACACTCCTAACGTCGACGAGTATATTTACGAATGTTGCCGGGAACAGAGCCCCGAATTTCAAGCCTGCTACAAGGATAAGGACTTGTCTCGTTCACGCAGGATAATGTGACCATAAAGCGTTAACAAAGCTGCCACATAACATCAATTTTCATTAGACGATGCGCTCCTGAAATATATTTTCTGGCTGGTTCAGGGTATGAAACGCCACGGCAACTTTTGTTGCTTGCTATAACGTCCATTACGGAACGCACGCAAAACGGAGGGAAAGTTTTATAGCCGTTTAAAATGAATGAGTGTCGCAAAAATCCCTTTGAATCGCCTCCGAGGATATTTACGGGCACTTTACGTTATTTTCAAAACTTGTTGATGGTGCAGAAAAATTTGCTTTCGCCGAAAGCATTCGCCATAAGGTACAACATTGATCGGCTTCGAAATTTATTAGGATTTCCCTTAACTATAGAAAATTCAAATTTTAGCAAGCTTGGGTTATAGCCATGAACACCGGAAACAGGCCAACAAGCCAATGCTATCGGTAAGGACGACTTCCGTCTCGGCGTTGGTAAGTCGGTCTTTGACTGTCGAACGTGGAAGTACCACCCGGCGGATCTCTGAGACGGGGCCAGACTGTGTGCATGTTGCAAGCCCACGTGTTCTCTCGCTAGAGTCCGTGTGGCATCTCTCCTTTACCGCTGTATCCCCCTAGAACCTCCCGGTACCTGTGGGTAGTTCGAGTATAAAAAAAGTCGCAAAAATTAGATCTATATGTTTTAGGCGACCCAAAATACGTAGAACGAAGGTCATTTAAAAATTATTTAAAGCATGTATAATATATTAAGTGACATATAAATCCGAACACCCAGTTTAAATCGTTTTATTTTAATAAAAGTTGATGAATGTATTTACCTTACGTGAAAAAATTTTCAGCCTTATCAGTTGGGCATTCCGGTTTTTATACTGCTTTTTTTTAATTCACTAACGCTCTACAAATGAATATTTCAGCCGCAGTAAAGAATCAACGTTGGCGGATTTTGGTTCTTGACATCCTTTACGATCGGTTACGATGCCTAGAGTACGGAGACCTGTACGATTTCGTCAACTTATTGAGTTTGATAGGGGCCGTATAGTGGGACTTCGGGAAGCTGGACTTTCTTTTCGAGCATTTGCAGTTAGAGTGCAAAGAAGTGTAGACACTGTGGTTAGGTGTTGTCAGGCATGGCTTCGATGGTCGTGCCAGGGTTAGAAGGCGACGTGGTGAAAGGAGGAATCCACAGTTTTTTGTTGAAAGACATGTTCATCACACTGTTGGAGTTATGGTTTGGGGTGCTATAGCTTATGGTTCCAGGTCACCTTTAATCTTCATCAGAGGTAACATGAACGCGCAGCGTTATATCCACGAAGTTCTAGAACCCCACCTTTTACCCTATCTTGACACCCTGGCAGATCCAACTTTCCAACAAGATAATGCCCGACCACATGTTGCAAGAGTCACAATAGACTTCTTTCAACATAATGATGTCACATTGTTACCTTGGCCACCAAGATCTCCCGACTTATCCCCAATTGAGCACGTGTGGGATATGATGGGTAGGAGATTGCTCAATTTGCAACGTCCTCCTCAGACTCTAGAAGCACTTCGAGAGGAGTTGGTGGTTGCCTGGAATGAGATACCACAGGAGGACATTGACCACCTGATCAGAAGCATGCCTAGGCGCGTTGGAGAATGCGTAGCACATCAGGGTGCATCCACACATTATTAAAGGTCAAAGGGCTTTAAGGCAGTGCAATCATTTTGAAATTTTTATCATTTACTTATTATGCTTCATTAAGTACTTATACAAAATTTTATTAAAATAAAACCATTTAAACTGGGTGTTCGGATTTATATGTCACTTGGTATATTAATTATAGTATTAAAGTAGTACAATTGTACTCATAGAATTACAGATCTATTCTCAAAACATAAATGCTAGGTTGAACCAGTACGTTTTATTTAATCCATAGATGTTCATAAAACGGTGTATACTATTCCCATATTATAGAATTTCAGGTCTACAAGTAAAAGAAGACGCATTTATATCCTTGATTGAGGATCGCAGGTGCTTAGAGAGTGGGAGGGTAATGATTCTCAAAACAATGCGCATCGACCTGTCCCTTGGTTAATAACTTATTTTGTCAAAAACCAAAAGTTCAAACATCTTCAATCATTGTAAGGCCAGTTATATACAAAATAAGAACATCCAAACATTTCTAACTTTACACTAGAGTGTAACAACACAACTCCGAAAATTTGAGCAAATACAACCCGGAGCTATTTACCAACGTTATTTGCTAGATGCATCACACAGTCACTTATTTGCATTTTAATTATACATAATGCCAAAAGTTTCTACACCTCCACAATGTAAACTGAACATCGTATACTATATGCATACGTATATTACTCCCTACATTTAATTATATTTATGCTGTTAATAATCCAGTGAAAATGTATATTTTCAATTCAAACAGATTAATAAAGTAATTTTTATCTCAAATATTTTGTCATTTTGTTGCAAGTAACGGTAAAACAGTGGGATAATAATTTATATGAGGGTTTTTTTAAACAGCTACAACAAAAGAAAGCCGATATTGTAAAGAAACTTGATGCCCACTTGAGTCAACTTCTTCTTGACATGCATTAAGGCACGTGGTTAGGAGGTGTAGAAAATATAACTTAAAAATGCACGGTGCAGCACCAAACAACAACTAAATCAAACTACTAAAGGTAAGGTAGATAAGAGAAAGTGTGCTACTCCATAAACTGGTGACTGGGGCCCAACGAAGGGCCGATACACCTTCTCAAACAAGACTTCAGCAGGAAATGACCGTCCACACGTCCTGTCTCAGCAAGACTACGAAATTTCTTCAAGAAGCAGGCGTTAATGTTTTGCCGAGGCCACCCCGTTCACCGGATCTAAATCCCATCGAACATGTATGAATATGTTGGATAGTCCACTTCGCACCATTCGCCACAGACTCGGCAACAGCTAATCCACGTCGTTCGAGTTGCTTGGAGTGTGGTGCCACAATCATCTCATTTCGTCGATGCCTTGACAGATACAGGAGTGTATTCAGCTGCGGGGTCGCCCAGCACAATTACTTTTTCTTCCTATTGTCAATAATAATAAGAATACTATCGTTTCAGTCTTGATGTAAGACTACCTCATTGCCAAAAAATCAAGTTGAAGAACTTATTTTTTTCTAGGTGTAACACTTCTACTGTCACTAAGACTCGGGCAAAATAATTCCAGGGAGGTAAAAATATTTTCAAAATGTTCCTCAGTATGATTTGGTTAAAACCATACATATCCAAGTATTGTTGTAAGAAGCCACGTAACGCCATCACAAAGCTTTCCCAGGTACAAAAAAATTGCCTTCGATAACTACGGTTACTTTGGATAGTTTTCAACCTGGAATGCCGGAACTATCGCAGCCACCTTAACAATTTGAACTGCAGAGCTGTACACACAGAAGCAAACGGAGCAAACGCGTCTTCCGAGTGGAAGTTTTGTTTTCGTTTCCAAAACTAAAGGACCCCGCTCTCGGTACCCGCAGAACGCGTCTGAGTTGAAATACAATAATTTTAGTCGCCGTCAGATTTTAATGAGACGCTAACGTGGAAGGGGTGCGAAAATTAAGCGAGAAAACGAGAAAATCATCCGTCACGGCGGAGTGGCAGATATTTTTGTGAATGGTCTCTGTTAAAGGTTCATTGCCACGCTGGGGCGGTGGTATGTTGCTATACGGGGGTTGTCTAGAAAATACGATTCCCAACGCTGTATCGTTGCCGCGCGTGATGACAGGCGAAATCTGGCAACACCGCCGAGTTTATCGGCTCCAGGGTTGTCAACTCTACAGTTTTAACAGTAGATTTACAGTTTTTCAAAAATCTTCCAAGTTTTCAAATTTTCGTTCAAAGTATATGCGTTTTTGTACATTGAGTCGTAGTATGATATATCACTCTTCATGTATTGGAAGTTTTTTCTGAATATGTAATAAAATACGGAATATTCCCTTAAAAAGCTTTCAAAGTTTCTCCTTTTTTTTAAACAGAGTATCTCATATTTTATTGTAGATTCGTACAGTCCCTAGTAAAGGAAGAAGATTGATATAGCATACAGTAATGTTATGATGATTAGTTGTTAGTTATCCAAATAATTCCCAACTTTGACAGCTTTTCAATCCACTATTTTTTAATATAGTAATTTCATATTCTATGGTGATAAAGTACTGACAAAGGACTTCAAAATACTTGTAAGTATAACATGACCAGTCTATTTAAAAAAAAATGTTTCATTTGTTACTTTTGGCTTGAAATATAGGATTTATGGGTAAATTTCATCATCCTGAATTTCAACTTGACGCGTTTAAGAAAGACTTTGTAAAAAGCACTGTAGACCTAGTTAACCCTTAATAGCTACTCTTCCAAAACAATCACTTTTGAACTACCCAAGGGTCAATATGACCCAGATAAAAAAAATTAAATTTAAAAGAAAAACAACATCAAAATAATTTTATTGACAAAAGTAAACAAACGTTTATATTGTAATATAACATGTAAGTGTTGAAAAGCAAATCAAAAACAATTTGGGCATATGTTTTTGGCACAATTACGACATACTGGATTTTTACAGCTGTCACAGAAGGTACTAGTTTTTTGGTCCTTTTTAGATGGGCAAGTAGCACACCGCTTTCTTTTGGAAGGAGGAATGCGTTCAGTAGACTGTGCTTCAACATCAAGAGAAATTCCCAGTATATTCGCCATCAAACTTCTGAGTTTACGGGGAATCTTATTATTGTACATACGAACCATAATATGGCGTTGACATAAACTACGAGCTAAATTAAACAAGAAATTCCTTCTTGTTATTTCTTCTCCATTTTTAGAAAATTGAAGTAATACTCTAGAATTGATTCCTGCAACATTTAGCATCATGTGGAATAATGCCATGGGCCAACGGCGAGTTTTCCTGGAAGTTGAATAATTGGAACATTTTTGATCGAGGGCATCTACTCCAGCTTTTGTGTCGTTGTAAAACAAAATGATTTCCGGTTTTTTTGTTTCATTATCAACAGATGAATCATTATGCATACTGGAAATCAAAATCACTGACTTGTTTTTCTTCGGTACATATGAAACGAGAGTTTTTCCAGAAGAAAAGCCGAACTCTGTTGAAAATTCTTGACGCAATCTAGACGGCAAAAATTCTTTAGGAATACACCTTTTATTTTTTTTCAGAGTGCCCACGTAGGTTACATTTACTTTACTTAACTCATCTACCAACTCTACAGAAGAATACCAATTGTCACCTGTGATATTTCTATTACTTCCAATTACCGATTCCACCAAGCGAAGAACAACTTGTGTTGGTTGAGATAATTTGCATTTACTTTTCTCCAGCGACTTTCCCGCATAAATTTCTGCATTTAGCAAATAATGAGTTTTTGAGTCTGCAAGAACTTGTACTTTAAGACCGTATTTAGCGGGCTTGCTTGGAATAAACATCTTAAAACTGCAGCGTCCGCGAAACGGTACCAACATCTCATCTACGGTCAAGTATTCCCCGGGTGAGTAGTTTCCTTTACAGTTTTGGATAAATTCTTCAAAAAGATTTCCTAAAGCGGCTAGTTTGGTATTTTTCATTCTTTCTTTTCGTGTTAGTTCGTCGTCAAATCGAAGGCAGCATAAGAGAAAGGAGAACCTAGCAAGTGACATCGTGCATCTAAATATGTCACGTCCCGTTCCATCAGTAGCCCAAAGGGACCTTAAATCTTCATGGCCTGACTTGTATAACCCAAGGAAGTATAGAAGACCAACAAATGCCTCAATTTCTGTTTTGTCAGTTTCACCAATAAATGAAGGCCGAAATTCCGACCTGCTATTGCTCTTCTTCTTGAACTTTCCATAATGACTTTGAACTGATCTGATTTTTGTATTAGTATGAGTTATAATTTGTCCAAATATTTCATCTGTCAGAAGCAACTTCCAGGCTTGTAAGGCAGATTGAGGTTTGTGTTGTGCTGCATTTCCTTTCAAACCGGGCAAAACTTTTATGATGTTTTTTGCAAGAGTCTTTCCTCTTACTGGAGCAGTAGTAGACCATTTTGTTCTATCTTTTCCATACAAAGCTTTTGGAACTTCCTTTCTGTTTAAATTCACATCTTCATTACTGGTACTAGCTGAATGTTCTTCGTCTTCATTTTGTTCGTCGGACGGCTGCCATTCCTGCTCACTGTCCGTATCGTGGGTACTTAGTTCCTCTTCGTCTTCCTCTTCTTGATCGCTCTGGTCCCCAAACGTAAAAAGTTTTTCGCATGCATCACGTTTATCCTCCTTTTCAATAGTATTTTCATTGTATTCGTAAGTGGAAGATGACGATGATGCAGTATTATTCACGTCGAAATCCTCCCAGAACTCATCAGACTCAATAATTTGTTCCAGCTCTTTATCAGTAAGTCCTTTAGCCATTATAACCTGAAAACATCAAAAAAAAATACTTCATAAAAAAAAAACTAAAAATGGTGGTTAAAACTTACCTTTTCATATAAAAAATACTACCAATAGTTCATAAAATATTCAAGTAATTCGGAACAAAATAATAACGTTTATACTATCCACGGGTCATTTTGACCCAGTGGCTGCCATTACAGTCGAATGAACTACGTCACTAGATTAAAACTACGATGCACATTTACTTCAACAGCGGCTGAACGAATACTGAACCACCGCCAGCTGTTCACGTTTAATATAAAGATACGAAGTGGGGGGGACCTCATATCGATGGGTCATTTTGACCCGTGGGTAGCTATTAAGGGTTAAACAGTACTGTCATAAACATAATGATTATATCGTGACAGTTTTGCATTGCTTAAGCAAATTATTTTTCAACGGTTGTGATTCGTGGTGGCCTTGAGTGACATTAAAATGGCAGAATTTACATTTTCCAAATTCACTCAAGGCCAACCAGAAGAACAACCCCTCAAAAAGAATTTGCTTTTTGCATCCATGATCAGCCGTTATTTTTTGACATTGTTCCGTGATAGATACTCGTGAAAAATAGTATATTGCTTAAGAATAGCACACTGCTGACCTAACTTGAATCAGGTTCTTTTCGCGGCGGTTCTGATTCCGGTTGACCTTGAGTGACATAAAAATGACAAAATTTCAATTGAATTTTCATGTCACTTAAGGTCAGCCAGAACCAGAACCGCTGCAAAAAGAATTTGATTTTCTTAAGAGTAGGTCAGAAATGAAACCAGTGTTGCCAGGTACAGTTGATCTGTTTTCGGTAAACTTGTACGAAATTTTTCGGTAATTTTGGTATTAATATTATTAAAAACTATTCAAAAAATTAAAGAGCACATGCAAAGTACTTTACTCTCGTATTTTATTAAACTATATCAGAAATATACTATTTAATAGTTTGAAAAATGTTTCCTTATATTCTTTATTAAAATCCATAGTTCGGTAGAATACATTGAATAAAACACTCTATTATATCTCAAATAAAATTTATATTTCATAACAAAATAATTATATTAGATATGATTTTGCGGTGAGTGGTTGATCACTGCTCCTCTACCGTCTACCTTATTGTCTATTTGCAAATCTTTTTCATATCTCAATTTGTCCGTACACCAGATGCATGCCTAGGCGCGTTGGAGAATGCGTAGCACATCAGGGTGCATCCACACATTATTAAAGGTCAAAGGGCTTTAAAGCAGTGCAATCATTTTGAAATTTTTATCATTTACTTATTATGCTTCATTAAGTACTTATACAAAATTTTATTAAAATAAAACCATTTAAACTGGGTGTTCGGATTCATATGTCACTTAGTATATAATAGTATACGATAAAGAATTTTTGAAATAACTTGTTTTTCATATAAAATTTTTGATCAAAATGTTTTTGTTGGCATACAGGGGCCTTAATGCTAAATAATAGTGTTTAATTATAAGAACAATGTGATCTATGATTTTTCATCAAAGAGCACCCCGAGGTTTTTTACACAGCAGGAGATTTCAACTGTGATTGGTACAAAGTTTGCATGTTTTCCTTCAAAAAATTGGATTCCGTTTCTGGGCTGAAAAAATCATTTGGTTATTTTAGTGTTCAATTTAAGAGGCATTGTCGTTTGCATAATTATAGATTACTTCTAGATCCCTGTTTATAAGCGAGGCAGGGTCTTCATATTTAGGTTGAAATAATAGATACATTTGGCGGTCATTATTTTACAATTTTGAACAACTTTGCTTAAATTTGAGGTGTATGTGAATATAGTGGCCCTACAATAGAACCTTGTGGTACTCCGGATTTTATAAGCTCAAGTGCTGAAACTTTGTCACCGAATGAAACTTTTCTATAGTGTATTTACACCCAATATAGAATGGATGCGTGATTGCCAAAGGCAAGGACGGCGTACAGAGCTACCTCCGAATGATGGACTACCACCAACGTGTTGTAAAACAAAGATGACAGTATTTAACAGAAACAGAAACTTAACAAATTACTCAAATACACTTAACAACAACAACAGCAACAACCAAGCAAGGTGAATACGAAAACACGAGCACGCAGTGATACACGCGACGGACGGTGGCCTGAGTGCAACTCTGCCTGCCCTGCCCCTGCCCCGCGCATTATTCCGCCAGGCGACCGCTTGAAATTTAATGGCGAATTGACCAACAAGAGGCGTTGTGCCCACCTGTTACCGAGAGATCACGCGCTGTTATTATTTACATCTCATCTTGAATTTGGATTCAGTTTAGTTCTACCAATTGAATAGTACCGGAAAAAAATTCACAGTATTTCCGGAAAATCCTGAAAAATTCAATTTTGATAATAAGAGTCCGTGGTTAATTGTATCAAACGCTTTTGAAAAATCAAGAAGCAATAAAAGTGTAGCATAATCTATATCAAAAGCAGTGATGATGTCATCATCGATCTGAAAGTCGAGTAATGCTGGTTAAATAGGTATTAAATCGAGAATACACAATCTTTCCAAGTGATTTGTACAAAACAGGGAGCAAGCTGATTGGACATAGATTGTAATCCATATGCGTCGCCCTACAAATTCCATTGTCGGTTTGTAGTGTAAAGTTGAAAGCAAATAGCCCGACATTTTACCATGAAGCGAACACGCTAGTTCGGCGTCGAAGCACGGCAGCTGCATAGCATTTTCCAATTTACCCCATCCGACGTATAAAGTATAATTGATTAATTTTTAAGCACGGCTTTTCGAGGCCCCCAGACGTACGCGTCTTCGGGGAGTAGAACGCTAATTGTAGCCTATTCGGAAGACACCTGCTCCTGTCAAATTAAATTGCGGCGCTATCTATAACTGGCGATTTATAGGCAGAGGCGTACAGACTAAACTTCTATAAGAAGTCGGCCTATAGTCGGAAAACAAACAACAAAGTGTTGAGTCTTCTGGTAAAAGATGCGTTTCACCATATACCCTGGTACCGAAAAGGAAGAGAGCAATACAACTCTTTGAATTGACACAATTGGGGTATGACTTGCGCAACCATCCGCCTTATTCTCTTGATTTGGCACCCCCAGATTTTCATCTGTCCTTAGCGGAACATTTTGGCAGTACTCCAGCCAATATTCCGACATGGCGTAATAAGATTTTTCTATAAGAAACTGCTTGTTTTATTTTAAAAAAGCCCTTATCTTTGGCATTTCTTATATTCTGCTGGCAAACTGTTAAAAATGTTTGGCCCTAAACACCTTGGAGACTTTCTAGATACATTAAATTTCACAAAGGGTACATGATGTGATTGGTTAGATTGTCTTGTATTTAGTCTATGAACATCTTTATTTTCTAAATAGTTTTCTAAATTCACATACGGTACATTTATTTTAACAGTGAGTAGATCTGAGCAAAAGAAATGTTTTTTTCCTTTACCATTTTTCTGGTAAAATTAAAGTAACAAAGTTATAGCCCTTTGGAAGTTTGAGTACCGCCCTGTCTCAATAATAATATCATGTGCTCGTGTTTGGCAACAACGGATATAATCCACCTTATCGGTTCATCGCATCGGAAACAAAAAAGCGAAAGAATTTGGAACGAGTTTTTTACAATTATTTCATTCAGTTCAGTTATACATACAGTCAGTGTCAGTCGCGTGTGAATAGTGTCTGTTGCGTGGCTCAAACGAAATAAAAAATGGCACATGTTTATGCGGATCGGTTTCCCAATCGAGTGCAACCAACCCCTCGTGCCTTTGTTAATGTAGTACAACGGGCTCGTGAATCAGGTGACTTAAGACCTCACAGGGGACCTCACGATCAAATACAGTTCCGCACTGAAATACTTGACGGGAGGATACTTTATAAAACAAGGTAAATTTTTTTTTTATTTTTTTTTTATTTTTACACACATATTTTGGTTTATCTTCCTTTTACAATCATTATCTGAAAATTAATGACTCAACTTCAAAGTCAAGTCAAGTCTGTATAAGCCAGGAAGTCAAGTATTCTATATCTTTTAAAAAGTTCTCTACAACTATGCATACTATTTACTTTATACATATCAATTCATCGATCATTGCACTTGATGTAACCCAAAAGCAAAGGCCGTGCTTCAGCCTGGATTCAACCTGTGCATAGTATAGAAGTTGATCTTCATTTAGAACTGTTTGTAAATTTTTATAAACGTATGAATGTGAATTTAAAACTGGCATCATATACTTGCAATGTGCTTTGGTATTTAAATATTCACCTAAACATACTCCAAAAATTTAGTGTCGTCATAGAACTTGATCTGTTTGTCATTTAACCTGATACCCATGTCATCTAACTTCTGTAAATTGTGAAATCTTATCACAGCAGTCTGCTCTGAGTTTAAAAATAATGTGCAAACCATTTTTCAAGATGCTTCAAAATGTCATTAAAATTAATGACCAATACGTTATCGTGAACAGTTCACTAAGATCATTTATATTCAGTATGAATAAAAGAGGCCCTAATATAGGTCCTTGGGGAACTCCCATATCAATATCAACGCATGAAGAGCGGACTTCCTGTATTTCTGTAGCATAACTGTGTAACAACAGAGAAATTAAACGGATCAAGTCCGTCAAACAGGTCCATACAATTAGTTCATAACATGTCCTTCGTCTTAATTTCACCAATCATAAACGCGCAATTTGGAATTACAAATGGTTTCTATATGGAAAAATTGTATGACAGCACCTGTCAGCAGTTTTTTCGACTTTACCCACGGCAAAGCTGGACAATTGTTGTCAATAAAAATTACAATACCTTTGATAACAAGTAATTGTGTTCTCCTAGGACGCCAGAAAACGACGCTAAACAATTTTTTTGATTTTATTGTCCATACATTGTTTTTAAACAGTGCTAGTCAGCTTATTTAGTGAAAATAAGTCGCTTTGGAAGTGATTCTTTGACAATATCGTTAATACCCATACGTCAATATGGGAATAGTTTACGCAGTTTGTTGCCACCAGCACTAACACTTATTGTTAAAATATCACTTTTCAAATTTTGTTTCGGAAAAAATAGATGCCCTTATGATGCTACTCATGAACATCGCATAATTTCATTAACAGGCCGAGAACTTTTCACCCTTCACTCGTATATACGACGAAGCTTTACAGATGCATCTGAAAACGCATGTGTTATTATAAACGTTCGATACCAAAGCCTCAGTTATCGTGTACACAACTTATAATTTATTGTTTACGGATAGATAGTAACTTGACTAATAATGCAGGCAGGAAATTGGCCGATCAGTTATTACCGGATACCAACAGCCAAAAATGAAACAATATGTATGTCGTTATGTGGTATCTTCGCTCACCAGTTGTTATTTTTAAATGTGATAAGTATGCCTATAATGGTAATCTGTAAGGTCGTAAATAATTATGGCTTCACAGAATTCGTTTATAACTAGGATAAAATGAGAATAGCAGCCTGCTCTACTTACTAGTTCAAGATTAGTCATTGTAATAATTTTTTTCTGTGGAAAGCAAATATTTAAAATTAATGAACTTGTTTCCTGTGACAGCTCAATATAAAAATAAAAAAATGCGAGCACTTTTTTTCTTCAAAACACATTTCACACTAAATGAAACCACATATTCAATTGAGTGGGTTATTTTTTTTCTGAACAAAATGTCAAAAACTGAAGAATGTCAGGGAACATGAGACAAAAATACATGTTTCTGAGGAGCTTTTAAGTTAGCCAACTTATTATAAGCTACGTTTAAAATGTTAATTGAGGGGCCTGGAAGTAAAAGGGTTTAAGTACATTTTTAGTAGTTCTGAGATAAATGGATTCAAAGTTTACTTGAATTTGAAAATTCCAGGAATAAATTTATCAAAGTATGATAATATATTAAGTTTATTTAAATGCCAATAAAACATTACAAACAAAAAACATTTTCTTAATTTTGCTTTTTTATTGTCATTTTTGCAAAAATGTACTTGAATCATTATACATATTACAAAAATTATGGTGGTAACATGATTCAAGTGCAACTACCGTACTAAACCAAACGTTATTTAAAAATAATCTATAACAAAATTTCTTATTCATAATAATCAGAATCTAATATTTGATGTCTTCATCATTTTCCTCATCTGAATCAGTTGGTCTTGGTTGGGGTTCATCTATATCAGGTACTTTTTGGCTTGATGTCAGGGTCTGGTTTGTTTCTTTTTTCCTTTTTTTGTTAATGCTTTCCCATCGTGCTTCATGTTTTTATAAAATGTATGGTGAGTGTATGGTATTCCAATAAGCTAAGCAAGTTTTTGTACTTGGCGACTTTAATCTTTATTGAAGTGCCATTCAAAGGCTTTAGTATTGAAAAGCTAAAACACGGACGCCCAACTTTTGAGGTTGCCATTAAGCAACTGCTAAACTCTACATCAATGTTTAGGGTACCCTTATGTCGAAATGTTAGTCTTTCACTTTTATAGTAAGCAAACCAGCAAATTTCTTTCCATTTTAAGGGGTAACCGTCACTATTTTTTTTTGGATCGTTCATAATTTCATTGAACGGCGAAAAAGAGAAAAAATCGTCTTTGTTCATATTGTACACTATAAATTTGGCCGATGTGCCTCTTGTTACAGTCTCGCAATCTGCGGGGACCGAAACTTGAGGGATTTGCCTTTTTTCTTCTCGATTAAGCCAAAACTACGGTCACATTCCATGTAAGTGTGCCCGGGTTCAAGAAACTTGTGATGAATCTCAGTTATACGTGTAGCTTGAACAATAAAATTAAATAGTTTAGCAATGTTTTTATTCTTATTTTGTCCTCCACACGAATCACTGTATGCAATAATCTTCGTAACTGTAGATGGAAGGCTTTGCACAAATTTTATTAAACATGATCCTATCTCATGTGAGCCCCTGGATGCAATAGTTTCGTTCCATACATATGTACATATAACTTTTTCCAGTCAGTAAGTCAAAGACACAGAAATTATACGTCCATAATTGACGAAGATAAAATACTTTAGAGGTGGTTGACAATGGCGTCGGCAATGCCTGTTCCAAATCAAAACAAATTACAGCCGTATTTTTAGAATCATTTTTGTTTTCAGCAATATCAGCTTTTTTGGCATCTGTTGCTTTCTGGGCCTTTCTTTGGTGCAGCTCGAGGTCTTGCTAGGCATTTTTAATCACGTCTTCATTTGTAGAATATTTTATTAAATTTTGTAAATTGTCACAACGACTGCAGGTATCACTATAGGGCTGGTGGAATCTTAAATTGAATTCCGTATTGAAAATATGCCTGTAATAGGACTCTTTTACTGGTAATTATTTTGTCAATACAAAACTCCTGATATAATTTGTACATCTTATTGATACTTAATTCTCCTGAGAGATACCTTGCGTTCCCAATCAGTACTCATTTTGTTTATTATTATAACACTACCAACACTGCAAAATGCGTATTTTTAACTAAGAATAAGTAAAACGTTGAAATCACGTCACACGTAAAACATTACAAATAGTTGCCAAAGCCTTAGAAGTAAAATGGTTCAAGTGCACTTGACTGTATTAGTGGATATTTTGATATGTTCTCAAAGACTATGGGAACGTTGCCTGCATTTAAATCATTTTACCACCAAGTTAGGATATGCTTTAGGTATGATATTCTGCACTTAGACCATTTAATTAAAAAGGTGCACTTGAACCTTTTTACTTCCAAACTCCTCAATTGCAGAAAATCGCTGACAAACGAGTTTTTCGATTTTTTGGGAGTTTCCCGGCCAAAAGTTCATGATTTTGTTAGTGGATCTGAAAAGAACGCGAGAAAGCACTGATAAACAATGGATTCTCAAGTTTCCGAAATTTTCAATAAACAACCAAAAATTCGAATAAAAAATCCTATACGTTCCACCAGTCTATGAAAAATCCGGGTTATGCAGGATATAACAATGTAGCATCGGTAATTTTTTCAACATTTTACGCCAAATTGCGCCTGTTGAAAATTATTTGAGATTAGGGGCCCCTAGAGGTAACCTATCGATCTTTGAATTCGTGAATAATATTTCCATAAGGCAGGCCACATATAAGTAGAAAAAGAAACACATTAATCTTACACAGACTACAGACAAATACAATTTTTTCAGAAAATTACAGCCGTGCAATATATAAAAACAGCAATTTAATATTTATAATGACATAGTGCTTCCTTTGCAGTTTTCCTCTTGAACAAACTGCTCTGCAGCGGAAATATTTAACCTGACATCTTATATATAACAAGCGCAAAATTATATATTTTCTTAAAGACGTCTGTTAAGTCGCTTATACGCAAACAATGAAATTGATCGTAGTATCTCAGCAAATTTAACTTGCCAGCGAGCCGTTTTATTATAGTATGAATTAAATGAAAAATAATATGAGAGAGAACTAAAGACATGGAAGGAAAGCAAGTCATTAAGGAAATTGTTAACTTAGAACTGCAATAAGCAAGTTCCAGTCTCGAAGCGTACGTATATTTGCAATCAGATGAAAAGAGACTCATTTTCACTGAAAATATACTACTTTATTCGATAGCACTTCTTAGACATGCGGTGTACAAGAAAAAAATATATGAAAAACTTCATATCAGACTATAACTTTTATAGACACCTTTTCTTCTAGGCCATATGAAAAAGTTAGAAAAGATCAATTTATATCCGGACTGGGTGATTCCACAAAAAATGGGTAACTCAATGTCATCAATCAATAGAAGTTTTATTAAATTTTGTTTATATTTAATTTTATTTTAAAACAACTAAAAGTGTTTTATTTGGTCGCCCAATTGCAGCGATTTATTTTGAATACAATTTTTTCAAAAAATACAAAAAATCCTCAAAAGTCAGTCCTTTGGCATGTCACAATCCGTACAATCAAGTGGCTGTCACTACAATCTGTGATGTACTTAATAATGTATAGTACAACTTTCATAATATAATATTCCCGCCATTAGTTATAAAAAATTAAGAAATTTTGTGTTTGGTTAATTCGACGATCCAGTCAAAATATCAGTACTGTGGTGAGGCGATGTTTCTTTACAAACTTCAGTTTTATTTTGATTCATATGTAGTTAACTATAATATGTGAAACATAGCTTGTTGATATTCAAAACTACCAAAAGAAACATTAGTTCGAATTATATAACAGTACTAGGCCCACTATTATTTAGTCTCTACTTAAATGACTTATTCAAAATTAACAGTTCTGGAAAGATTATATGTTTTGCAGATGACACCCTCGTGTTATATAAAGCTGATGACTGGAGCACACTGAAGCAAATAGCTGAACAGGATTTTATAAGGATCATTGACTGGTTTGATACTAAAATTTTAACAGTTAACTTCAAAAAACAAAATTTATTGCATTTACATCCTATTCAAAAATTGTACCTACCTTCGAACAAATTTCCGTTAATTATCATGGCCAAAAGATCAAAATCGATAGAGTTAACACTTTGAAATATCTTGGAATATTTATAGACTCACATCTAAGGTGGGATAACCATATTAAATATGTTATCAAAAAAATTTGAAATGTTGCCTATTAACTCAAAATGCTTGCTAACATTCTTACAGAAAGTTATCTGCGAATCCTATACCAATTGAAACCCATATAATATACGGCATCACAGCCTGGGGCGCCGCCTGCAAGACATGTATTTCTGACCTGAATATAGCAGAAAAAACTGTTTTGAAAGCCATTTTCCATAAGCCAAGATTATATCCAACGAACAACTTATATCAAGAAACAGGGATACCTGATACAAGACAACCTTATTTCTTACATGCCACCACCTTATACCATAAGTATTGTAATAAAAAGAAAAAATCCTATAAACACGAGCATAACACACGATTTCGAATAGGCTCATCTAATATCCAAAGACCACACAAAACATTATTCAAAAAATCATTTAAATTCTTAGCAGCTAAATTATTCTTCGAAGTTGAGTCATTTATTTTAACAGTGAGTAGATCTGATCAAAAGAAATGTTTTTTTCCTTTAACATTTTTCTGGTAAAATTAAAGTAACAAAGTTATAGCCCTTTAGAAGTTTGAGTACCGTCCTGTCTCAATAATAATATTATGTGCTCGAGTTTAGCAACAACGGATATAATCCGCCTTATCGGTTCATCGCATCGGAAACAAAAAAGCGAAAGAATTTGAAACGCTTATCACGATGTTTTTAGTTGGATTCAGTCGGTAACGCGTGAGTGAATAGTGGTGTTTGTTGCGTGGCTCAAACGATTAATGACTCAACTTCAAAGTCACCCTGTATAATGTAGTACCAAACGAAATAAAGATACTTAATTTTGGAAAAAAAAATTAGAAGAAAATTGAAAGACTGGGTTAGTAATGTGCAGCGAATGACTATACATAATTATATAGAAAACTAAAACTACAAAATTCCAATTACATTAATACCTTTTAGATTTAACAATAATTGTTATACACATATATGATTGATTGTT